GAGAGAGAGAGGGGAGGGGGGAGGAGAGATAGAAAGACAGAGACAGCGAGAGAGAGGGAGAGAGCGAGAGAGAAAAAGAGAGCTTCTGTCATAGAAATTGTTTTCTATCGCTCGTATATCTCCTCGCGCTCAAGTTTTCTTCATATCTGCCCGTTGAATCGATCGGCGATTGCATGCAGGCCATTCATTCTCACATACGATTTTCAAGAGATATTGCTCGCGATAAGTGCGAAATGATTAATAATTATGTCGTAATCAATCATTTCTGAGATCTTGTATCTCGCACCGATCTAAGTATATTGAATTTCGAATACCTTACCATTTTTCAATGCTCGATTTACTCTGTTGACCTTTCCGTTTTCCAAATTCCTTCTATTTGTCGGTAATATTTTAGATATTTGTATGATAAGTGTGAGAAATAGCTGATTTTAACGAGTTAAAAAGAAGATAAGAAACCATTATATGTGAGATAAGAAACTCTTTGAATAATATTTCACAATTGATAATTTTTTTTTGAAAGGAGATAGAGAAGCAGTTAAAAACATTTGAAATAAAGTGATGAAATATATTGTACTTCGTACTTTGAAACAGAGTTATAAATAGCTAGGAATAATTTTAAGGAAAGCTGCTTTTTGATGAACAAATATTTGATATGTAGAGGGCAAGGGGAATCGTACGAATAATTAAATAAGTAATTAATCTCATATGGTGGACATATATAACATACTCATATGCTCCATGAGATGTGATCAAAATTGTTGATCTTAATAACTTAAAAATTAGATTGAAAAGTTAATAATTGATGATTTTGTTTTAAGAAATAAAGAAATAGTGATTTGGAATAATATTTTACATGTGAAAAATTGCTATATAATAGCCAGAAATAATAAGAGGACACTTCTTTTAGAAAAAGTAGGTTTCTAATGAAAAAAATATTTGATATGTAAAGAGTACAGAAAATAGCCACACAAATATTTGAATAAGCGATTAATATCATATAGTAGACATAAATTAATATAGCGTACTCTTACTTTCCATCATAGATAAGAAATAAGAGAAATAGTTAGCTTAATGATTTACAAATAAAATTAAAGAAGTAATATTTGATAATTTTAGAAAATATAGTAAAATAGCTGTATAAAAGAATAAACACAATTTTGGGAAAAATAGATTTATGATAAGAAATTGAAACGTAATCATAAGTAGATAAGAATAATGGAAGAATAATTGTAGGAAAAGTAAGACTTTTGATAAAAAGATATTTTATGTATAAAAAAACGCAGAAAATAGCCATACAAACATTTAAAGCGATTGATGTCATATGGCAAACATAAATTAACGTAATACGAGTTAACACGAGCTGATGGCCGACGGACAAATGTAGACAATTAAATGCGTAAGTTGAGGGAAATGGGTCCCTTATCAGGATTCGCGTAATATCCTCGCCGTTCTTGATACATAGCATTTCGCAATGGCTTTTAATATCCTTCGCGGGTGTGATATGCAAACGTAACCCACATTCGGCAGTACGTAAATATTTATCGTTCCGGATTCTACATAGTTCGCAAGCCTAATGAACTGCCGTGCTAATCTAGTCTTGGTATAATGAGAACCCGTTTCACAGTCATTGTTCCGTCGTGAAAGTTGTTGGTTCGACGAATTAACGTCGTCGTTACTCGGATAAAGCAAGAGCGTCATTATGATTATACAGAGAAGCAAGAAATAGATCGTGTAATAATCGCTGTGCAATTATTTAACAGAACTATTATATTTCACTTTGCATCCAATTGTTATCGTTGCTTTTTCCAAAATTAAGTTAATTTGAATTGTAAATTTTATTTTAGTTTTTATTTTGAAAAATGATATAAGTAAAAAAGAAATTAAATCTACGATTTTCATTGAAGATCGAGATTTTACGATCAAAAATGATCCTGTATGAAATCTTTGCTATGCAAAAAGTGACATGTACAGTTTATGTCGGTCGAAAAGCATCCAGTGATTTCGCGACACCGTGTGCAATAAAATAAAATGATGTCGAACTCCGTTTAAGTGAACGACGCTTAATTAGATGTTAATTTTATGACGACGCAGGACACGGTATCGATGACGGTTCGTGGATCTCAATCATTTGCTTTACGAGCTCGTGAAATATAGTAAGTTCCATTAACGACGCTAAATAGCGCCGAGAAGCTACCGTCGGCACGCTGGTCATACCGCAACTCTCCTCTGTCATCTGTTACATAATTAGACAGCTTGACAAAGTTACCGAAACCATTTTGTACGAAGTTCAGAAATCGCATTGTGCATTTACCAACGAGGAAGAGTAATATAGAGGAAAGTAATAATACACTCAAAAAAATATTTCGCTGATGTAGTTAGATTTCTAGATATCGCAACAAGAATGTATCGCTATTTTTCGTATCTGTGAAAACATTGTTTGTCACATATAGAATTTATAGCAGTAATGTTCTAGCAATAGCTTCTGAAAAATTTAGGTACCATTGCTAAATGTTATTCATTGCATGATCTAACACGTGATTGATCTTATATAGATAGCCGCTTTAGAGAAACTTTCTTTTTAAAGTTCACAAACAATACAGATATATATTCTGTTTCTGTCATCTAAACTGATTAAGTAATTACATATGCGATATCACAACAGTTGCTAATCATTTATCTGTTTTAGTTAATTTTTTACTACCTAGTAAAATTTTAGTCTATTATTGCAAGATCATTTTTTTGAGTGTACAATGATAGAATGTGAGATAATAAAAAAGAAGCAATTTTTGGAATGATAGATTTGTGATAACAAGTTGTTATATTTTAGCCAGGCGTAATAAAAGAATAATAACAGGAAAAATAGGTTTTCAATGAAAAGATAGTTGACGTAAGGACAACGGAAAGCCACACAACATCTAAATGTGCGATTACGTTATTAACGATATCGAGATGCACTTTAAACTTTTTTTTTAAGGATAAAAAAGTTGAACACATATTATATAACAATCTGCATAGTTTTAGAATACGTATAAAATATACTTTTCTTTTATAGAGAGAGCTTCTAATCTTGTAGATTACGTCTATTTAAAGTTAATTTATTATATCTTATATTCCTATCTTTTTTTTTTACAATATTTTAATAATAATAAAGCATTATCAATTACGCGCCGAATACAAAATATTTTGTATGAAAACGAAAGTTACGTAACGCTATTCTGTGAAAGTGAAGTATAATGTCATCTTTGCATATATAGTAATATTTGTACAACGAAAGCTTTTTACATTGACGGAAATAAAATTCTGCGAAAATTGTCTTCTCTTCATCTATTTTTTCATTCCGAGGCATCAAATTGTTTTCTTTCTACTTATCGGTCAAATTAATCAGCTAGAATTGAAAGAAAGATACAATTTGTAACTTTCTTATAACGAAAAGAGATAGAAATCGGCGCTCGATGCGAGGTGCTGTCGGCGTTGAGTCACTTAAAGGCGATACGAAAGCGGAAAATCGACTCTCGAGTACCGACTTGGCACGTTTCCAATCTTGTTGAGGAACATCGAGAAGGAACGAAGACGCTACCGCGGGTGGTCCTCTTAATTAACTTGTTTCGCCGCGCACTTGAATGCGAGCTACGTGACGACGTTCAGCAAATCTATATGCGCATTAGTTCTCTTACGCATTGCGTTAAGTAGACGTGTCTGCCGCATTAAACGCCCGTTTTCTAATTGACCGCGTATCGAACAAAAGGTTTCTCAAACCGGCTCTTCTGTCATAATTAGATTTCGAAAATTTTAAACTAACTATATTATGCGACTTGAAAAATCTTCCTGCACGATGTGCGCATTGCATTTATATATATTGTTGATATGAAACCGCAGAAAGGAAAACTCTTGGGCAAAAATCACACGCGAGAATGTAAGCGATAAGGCTGCACTCGATGCATTCACGGTTGCGTTGTACTCGAGACGCATTTTTTCATCAGCTACAACTGCACAACATGGATAAGTAATGAAGCGTTCTTTATAATCTAATCTAATCTAATCTTCAATCGTAACCGGTTTGTTCCAGATCGTTGCGTCGTCCAGAAGTCATGGCCTTCGGTTTCGTTAGAAAAGACAAATTTCGTGGCTGAGAGACCGATCGTGCCGCTACGGCTTGCGCCAGGATTACTGATCTCGAAAGTTGCACCGAGGAGAAAAGGAAGAAACGAAGTTTTCGACGAAGAGACACGCAAAAGAATCTGAAGAAATAAAAGGTGGAGATAAACGTAAGGTAAGTCTTTTTCTCATGTCCAACGTTGTTATTTACTTTTTTTACAGACGTTATTGTTTATCTGAAAGTTGTGCAATAGAAAAGATATACAAGAGACACGGGACGAGCGTGATATCGCGGTAGTTTTCTATGAAATAATTTATTCTTTTGTTCTTTCACTTCCCCGAATGATAATTAAAATTCAAAATAAATAAGAAAAAGATTTGCACACACTTGGATTCAATAACTTTGCATAAAAAAAGAAAATATTGCCATAAGCTGCTTTCTGTGAGACAGAAATGAACAATAATTTGCGGAAAATGCTGCGTATTAATTGAAAAAGCGCTTCATCCGGCTTGAATATTTCGTGGCGGAAAATTTTTTATCGCTCGTTATCCAATTGGTTTGCGCAGGACAAGCGCTTTCGTTCGAAATACCTTTTTAAATTCCCCGGTTATTCCGAACGTACGGTTTGTTTTACCATAATGGACCGTCTCTACAGGATTGCACCCGCGGGATTTGTACGGAATGGCACATCCGGTACATCCCGGTACTTACCACTTCTCTTAGCTCGTCGTAGAAGTGCCGCCGCGTCAAATGGAGAGCTCTTCGGCGATCTAAAAATAGTGCCTGCAAGGCGGAAAATGCTTTGCACATTTTCTCGACGACAAAGGACGAGGGAGATCCTTGTCGACGTACAGTGACTGTCGGTTAGATGCGCGAAAAATGCGGCAACGTGATAGTCGTGTTGCCATGATCGATGATGGTTCGCGAAGAGAAAGACCGGTTATCGTACATGAAGATGGGTAAATTGAAAGATGGATTTTGCAGTGAAAGAGATTTTTCCGGCCAATCTCTCTCTCTCTTCCTCCCCTACATAGATTTATTGCTAGTAAACGAAGTATGTTTCAACGATATAAAATAACTTTTTGTCTATTTAATAGTTAATATATTTCTGTTAGATTTAAATAACAGAATAATAAAGAGAAACAATATATTTATTTTTATTTAATAATTTTGTTATAAGAATTGTTTACTAATGTGAGGTTTATTTACGGTAGTAAATTACTTATCTCGCGATTAAATTACATGCAGTATTTTGAAACTCGAGAGTTGTGTTTTTGAGGTGTGTGTGTTTTAGTATTATATAAAGTGTTAAATTTAGATAAAATGATACGAAAAGTAAATATATATTCGTATCTTAATTGTTATTTTTTATAATATCTGGGTTAATTTTGGTACATAATGTAACTTGTAACTTTTTTTATTAGTTCTTGTTACAATTTTTCCGGACAACTGCAATTTTTTAAAATAGCACACTGTTATCGCGAAGCGGAAAAATTAAGTATACAGCAGGTTATTGTAAATAATGCATATTGATGTGTTTCGTGACTAAAGTGCTGAGTCTTGACTTTGATATATGAATGCACATCTGGCTGTTTTAAAACTATCGAATGTTCTTTTCTAATTATAACTTTCTTTGATTTAATAATAATTAATAATTCTTTGTACGATTTTTCCTTAAGAAATGCTTATAATTTTCGAGTAAATTTCTGTGAAATAAAAGAAGGAAACAAACTTTAACTTTAGAAAATAAATTAGATGACGAAATTGTATTAATAATTTTCAAGTGGACTTTAATTAAATTTTAATTTAAAGTTTACTGCAAGGATAATACTGAAATTTCGAAAGCCACGATGAAAATTTCTTTCGCTATATTTTCGCTGTACAATAGATCGGTGGTTTCAGCACACCGTATATATTGTGTTATTTATGTCAACACCTTCTGGCAACACACGTGACTCCTTCAATTTTTCGCTGATGCTAGTGTGCCGATACGTTTTATTTTTAGATGTTGTACTGTATTAATAACTGCTGCGTTTATCATTAATTATCGCTGAAACATTCGGAATTTGTTTACGGCGAATGAATATTGATGTGTAATGAAAATGGCTTGCGTCACGAGTAGCGCGCGCGACGTGCGGATAACACGCTGTTACATAAATTATTGTGGGCAGATCGACGTTTCTTGCGAAGCGAGATCCCTGCCGGCGAGAACACACTTTTTTCGTCGGTGTTTATCACGACGACTCAAAGTCTACGCGACCCGATATCTGCTTCCTCAAGGTATCGCGGTATTTTGCATCTGCATAATCGATGAGTAATACATTCCGAGTCTCTCAAGCGTCTCTTGCAATATTTGTAAGATACTGTCGGAATTTACTACCGGGAAAATATCGGAACTCACGAGATCCGGACGAAATTTTGCGAATATATGGGATGAGTTAATATTTTATTAGTATGCACTATTTACGTCCCGTTGCCCTTTAAAGGTGCGACATTTGATCTTAATCAAAAGGACGTTTCTATTTTTCGTATATCATTCTTAATAATAAAATAGATTGAGGAAAGATGTGGAATGAAATGTTCGGATTGACATATGACTAATCGTTAACTGTAATCTTAAATGTGAACACACGATAGAAATATCAAAAACATGTTTCCGATGTTTCCGAACATGTTAAAGAAACATTTGAAGAAATCTTTAGTAATTTTATGCAATCTTTCGTAATTATATTTTATCCTTGAAATTTTTTTTGTATAATTTGTTATTAAACAGTTTGCTGAAGAATTGAAATTACGGTTATTATTCATAAACGACGATAAACAAATAATGAGAAACTCAATTGTCGACGAGCGTTTTTCCAATGTAAAAGAAAAACAGCTCTCTGACACTTCGCGCATTTGAAATTTTCCGTTTTCGATTATGATTGTCTGATGAAACAGAGTAAGCTCGTCCTAATTGGCGGTCGGTGTTGTAAAAATGGCCCGCGGCACTTTTCTTCCATTAATTGATATCAAACCGTTGTCGGGTAATGGATTCAATCCTCATTAACGCGTTTGAAAGGGAGTCTACGAGAAGATCCTTTACTGACAATCTGCCGATTCATTACTGGCATCCTTTTGTTACATTCATGGCAACATTCTAGTTCGGCGTTATTCCCTATATTCTCCGTTATAGACTTCTCTGCCAGAAATTCAACCAACTTTTGCAATTTATTCTCGTATTATTATAATAGTGGAAAAGACAATATTCTCTTAATGCTAACAGAAAAGTTGTTATCTTTTAAATTCTTTTTGGCGAAAGTTCGAGTTCAGTCATCGTCTTTTTATTTCTTATGAGATTTTGTATAATTAAACTTAATTAAACGTTTTGAAGAGAAATTTTTAATTAAATTTTTAGTAATTTAATTAAAAAATCAATACTTGAGATTTAAAATATCAATATCGTTCTTTTACTTTTTCGTTTTTTAATCAATAATTTTTCTTTTAAAAAATTGCGATTTTAATGCAATTTATTTAATGTTAAACTTCTTACAATTTTTGCCAGGATTTGTTAAATATTAACTGAAAAATGTTAAGAGAAAACGTGAAATAGAATGTGTTTAATATTAAGAAATACTTGAAGTTGTCGAAGAAAAATTATTACATATTTTATGTACAATGAGCCTTTCATATTTCTTTTACATAAAAAAAAATTTCTTTTATGGTAATCGGCTATGCATAGAGCGTGGAGGAAGAGCAGTTTGTATCTTTTTTCGAACACTCTCTTGGGCGAACTTCGTCTATTCTGAACTTTCCGCTTTGCAATTGCCTTTTCCTATACACACATACAGGACATATACACATATACATAGCGACGCAGGTCTTCTTTCGAGAGCTCCCTGTGACGGTTTCCTCTCCCGTAGCTTTACCCATTCGGCTCAGCGGTTTCGTTTCGAGTTATAATACATAAAGCTTCCTATATTATATACGTTATGTCAATCGTTTTGCCGTACCGTATCCGTTTTATCCGATTGATGCAAGTAAATTGGACTATCGCAATCTCATGGAAAGTCCTGAGAACATATGAGATTTTATACGCTGCTTGTTACGCGGAATTGATTTCGCGGAACCAGATTGGAAAGCGAGTGAAATCGAGCACTCTTGTGAGAATTTTGTTTTATAGAAACAATAGAATAATTTTTACGTTTGATTGCAAATGTAAAAATGTAGCTTTTGCTATACTTCCTTGAAACATTTTATTTATAGTTTTGGATTTTAAAACACGTAAACATATTTATAAATGTAAAGCTCTTTCGAAATATTTTATTTTAATCTGTGATCTAAACGTAACTTTCAGATTATTCAAAATAATATTGCTAATTGTCTGTGATTGTTTCCTGTTATCTGATAGATTCGAATTCTTTAAAAGTTTATCTAATGCCACGGCTGCGCACGATTGTTCCGCGCGTATGGCAATACAATCGCGCATTTATGCTAAAAGCGACGTTAAGCAATCGTCAAGGCAATTCGCGCCGTGTATCGATACGTACATGCGAATGAGGAGCGCATACTGCGCCGTTCATAGGCAAATAAGTATGCGATTAAGGCAGTTAGCGAGGGAAATGCTCGAGCGACACGTGGAGAACTCCACTTACCCTGCTCGCATCGACATCTGGAATATTAAATCGATTATCGAACATAGGAGTTAATGTGATATATTTCGTTAATCATGCTCGCGTTTAATTGTCGGTGACGGAAAATACAGATGCGAAAACCAGAAAGATTTTAATCAGTGTATTCGATTTGGATTTCAAATAGTCGAGTTCTTTTCAGTCAAATAGCCCTTTGAAACGGATTTGATTTAAAATTATGGGTTTATCATAATACAGATTTTAGCGGTACAGCGCTGGCGCGGTACATGTTTTAATAACGTGAAAGAGCCCTTTTAATTAAATGGCACGGTGTTTACCGACGGGATGATTCTTTATGTAATGCGATACTAATCGCGAAATTAAAACCGGACGAAATTCCGACGTTTCTGGATATCAAATTTAAAGCGTTTATCTATATCACGATCTATTATACTTATCACGTTCATTATGCGATTATAAACTGTGGATTCCACAGATCTTTTACACATTGGAAAGATTGTGTTGACTTTTCCTCTTTCACAAACTCAATTATCTCTCTGCTAA